AGTCCATGAAGCTAGTTTCAATGAGGTTAAGGCCTTGCTTACATCCAATGCGGTGCTAGCTCATTTTAATGAGCAGTTGCCAGTGTGTCTGGCTTGTGATGCTTCCCCCTATGGTGTGGGTGCTGTGCTTAGCCATCTGACGGCTGATGGGACTCAGGTCCCTGTGGCATATTATTCTAGGACATTGTCTGCTGCTGAGTGTAACTATGCTCAAATTGATAGGGAGGCTTTGGCTATTGTGGCTGGAATTAAAAAATTCCATGATTTCATGTATGGCCGCCACTTTACGGTCTTTACTGACCACAAGCCTTTGCTGGGGTTGTTTACTACGTCCAAACAAACCCCACACATCCTGTCCCCTCGCATGCTGCGATGGTCCATTTTTTTGTCAGCTTATGACTATTCATTAGTTCACAAACCTGGCAAAGAAATGGGTCATGCTGATGGCTTAAGTAGGCTGCCATTGCCTGCTGTGGAGCCTGATCCTGCCCCTGCTGTGCACATATTGTCCATTCAGGATTTGCCAGAGTGTCCCCTTAATGCTAGGGATGTGGCTGCTGAAACTGCCACTGATCACACGCTTAAACGCGTGCTGACATGGGAGCTGTCATGTTGGCCTGACAGATGCCCAGAGGAGGATTTCCAACACTTTTGGGTCAAGAGACACGAGTTGTCCACGTTCAATGGCTGCCTCCTCTGGGGTTCTAGAGTTGTGATTCCGGCCTCATTGAGGTCGAGAATCTTAGTTTCCTTACATGAGGGTCACCTTGGGATTGTCAGGATGAAAGTGCTTGCGCGCAGCCATTTGTGGTGGCCTGGCATTGATAGAGCCATTGAGGCCCAGGTACATGGGTGTCATGCGTGTCAGCAGTCCAGGCCGGAAATGCCTCAGGCCCCTGTTCATAGGTGGGAGGAAACACACACTCCATGGTCTAGAATACATATAGATTACACTGGGCCCTTTCAGGGGCAATTCTTCCTGGTTGTTGTAGATAGCCATTCCAAATGGCTGGAGGTTGTACCTGTGTCATCCACCACTACTGCCAAGACCATCCAGGTGTTGAGAAACATTTTTGCTGCCCATGGTCTGTCAGATGTTTTGGTGTCGGATAATGGTCCTCAATTTACTTCTACTGAGTTTCAGGTTTTCCTACAAGCCAACATGATTCGCCACGCTACTTCGGCTCCATTCCACCCTTCCACCAACGGTCTGGCTGAACGGATGGTCCGCGTCGCCAAGGACGCTCTCAAGAAACTGACTTATGGCAACTGGCATCACAGGTTGGCTGATTTCCTTCTAGCCCATCGTACTACTCTGTGCACTGCCACGGGTAAGTGCCCAGCTGAACTCCGTTGGGGTCGCCGGCTTGTGACTAAATTGGACAGGCTGCATCCGGAGCGAGTAGCTTCACAGGTGTCCCAGGCGCACCCACCATGGGTCCTTCAAGTGGGTGATCCTGTCTGGGCCAGGAATTACGGGCCTGGACACCTCTGGGTCCCGGCTGTGGTCTGCAAGGTCTCGGGGCCTCTGTCCTACGAGGTGTCCTTGGACGACAGCCGCGTTCTTCGCCGCCACATTGATCAACTACGTGTGAGGCGGGACTTGCCTCGGTTTCCTCCTCAGTCTTCTCAAGGGGGGGAGGAGGAATGGGAAATGCATTCTGGGTATCAGCATCAGCAGCCGACACTGGCTGTTGAGGACACCATGGGTACGCAACCCCCAAATTCCGCAAGTGCTCCAAATAGGAATTCATGGGGCAGGGGGCAAACATACACCCCCACACTCACTCCAGCCTGGGAGTCACACCGGAGGTATACTCACTACCCACAACTCACCAACAATACTCCAGACAAGGAGACTGACTGGGAGCATCTTCATAACTCACAACATACAAGAGAGCAGGCACAACAGGTTGGGGACTTGCCCTTTTCAGCAATGGCTCACAGAAGGAAGTCCCCACGCATTAGGGCTAACAGGGAGGTATCCTTGGACCCTAACACTACAGAAAGGAGCCAGGAAAATTACACACCTTCAGGGAACAAGGAGATGAGTTCAGAAGGCTCAGAAAGCTCCCTAAGAGGCAGGTCAACCAGGTATAGTGAACAGCAGAGTCCTGACTACCTGAGCCTAGGAGGCGAGCAGGGAAGTCAGGCAGCAGTCATAAGACAGCCACAGTGTAATTCACCTAGTGTGGAAAGCAACGGTGGGGACACTTCAAGCTCCCCAGGTCCGAGAAGGTCGCTACGGGTCAAAGGCCCTCCCAAATACCTTGCAGATTACGTGAGGTGAGCAAGAGTTATGGAAATCTGGACAAGAGGTCCAGGCTGGTTAGCTCTTAGGAAAAGGGTTGGGCGCATTGGTTCTCAGAACGACAGAACGACCCTATGCTTCTCACACTCTGTGCATTTAATGCAAAAGTTAGTAAACACATGCTCTACCAAAGGTGGCGTCCATGTTGGGCGCAGCATTATTTTATCTAGGGGGGAGGGGTGTTGTGTCCTGAGCCTGCAGAAGCAGGCTCGGGACGATGCAAGAGTCCCGGGCATTTGCAGAAGCTACCCGGGACCAGACTGAGCGGCGCCGGCCTTGCGCGCATGCGCAAGGCGGGAAAAGACTGCCTGCTATTGGTTGGAATTGCCTGGGGATCAGGGGGTATAAATAGAGGCCTGCGTGCCTCTGCTCTTGTTGGTTGTTAGCTGTAAGAGAGTGAGAATAAAGATCTGTTAGCAACATGCATTGCCTCCTTCGCCATTATTCTCCGGACTTAACATCAGGTATGAGTCATCAGTGAATCTTGTGATGCGTCTTGTGATGGGGAGGTTACATCAGGTTGGGGTCATTGAAAGGTGAACTGCTGGTGGGATGGGTTGGTTGAGGGTCGGTGCTGTCTCTGGTTGGCTGTGTGTTTGATTTGGATTCTGAGGGGTTTATAGGCTGGTTATAGGTCAATATATCTGTTGATGGAATTGCTTGTGGAGTGCCAGGCTTTGATGAACTTACAAGTGTGGCAAGTGGTAGCATGGCCAATGATTTTTGTGTTGTTCCAACACAAGTAGAGAGTAGAGAATAAGGATTTGGGATCATGGTGTTTGCCTGCCATGAAGCCTGGCACTCCACAAGCAATTCCATCAACAGACATATTAACCTACAACCAGCCTACAAACCCCTCAGAATCCAAATAAACTATACAGCCAACCAGAGACAGCACCGACCCTCAACCAACCCCCATCACAATACTCACTGAAGGACACTGACATCCCCTAAACTCTGCTGAAGATGTTAACTAGCCTGGTAATGAAATATACAGAAACCAAACCACGAGCTCAGAGAACGAAACCTTTACCCTCAAAAGACTAAGTGCTCTCTTATTCTACTGAATATTCAAAATGACATTAATGAACAGTTCAGCAGAGAGAAATTCCCCAGGATGAGAGAAAATAGGTTAAATTGAAATCCAGAAACAATTATATTTATTCAGCAATAAGAAATTACCTTTTCCACAAGCTCATAATCCATTTTAAATGCCCAGAGCTGAAGTCTAGGAGTAAGCTCAGTAATGGAAGACAGGGTCAGTAGGAACTGTTCAGCAGTACCCAGAGGGATATCAGGATTGGCTAACTGAGCTTCTTGAATTTTCTGCTTTTCCTCTTCTGTGGGAATCATTGTAAGAATTTTCTAGAAAGACCAAAATAAAACAAACAAAACAAAACAAAACAAAAACCACCCCATCAAAGACAAACTATATAGACTGGTCTTTTACACTGACTATATCAAAGCTGAAAAATACTTTTGTTTTGTAAATTTTCTTGACAGAACTCCTAATTTTTCTTATTAAAAATATAAGTGATTCAGTATTATCCACACCAAAATTACGCAAAATATTTACATTTCATTTATTTTAATAATTGTTTAAAATATTACAATTAACCATTTATAAAAATCACTTTTACCTTTTCAATTCTGTGCAACATAATTTAAAAGAGATATTTTGCTGAAGAATCATGTACCTACTGCTTATTAAAATCATATGTAATGACTCAGAGGTTCAAAAACAAGCAGCACTAGGACATCACATATACAGGGTAAAAACTGTCACAATATTCTTGGGGAGAGGGAGAGAACTGACCTGTACACAGTCCAATCTCTTAAGAAAGAACACTGAACTCTCATGAGATCCCAGTGTACTCATATGAGATTTTGTACCATTTTGAGAAAATTTGCATGGCCCTCACATATCTGTTCCATCTCAATTGATTAAAATTTAGTATTTAGTATTCTGAATTAACCAAGTACACACTGGTATTTCAGCTACAAATGAAGGAGAATATTTGTAGCTCAGGGTTGAGATGAGAGTCCTTGGTGCTCTCTGAGCTTGCTTGTTTTCTTGCAAGCATTTCATTACCCTAACTATGTAACATTATCAGTGCTAGTAAGGAGTGCTGTTTGTTGTCGTTTATATTCTGGTGTCTTGCCTGTCTGGGTGGGTGGGGGCGGTCTTAGGGATTCTTTGGTTGGGCTGTTTACTAATGGCTCTGTGGCAAGTTACTTGATTGGGGTATTGCTTACTTGATTGCTGGTCTGAAGGTGACCTTGCTGATCTGAGTGCTGATTTCTGGTGGAAAGATGCTGGAGTCTTTTCCTCTTTTGGGCTGGTTGATTGTCTCTTTTGCATAATCTATAGATGTTGTTCGAAGACGAATTCCAGGGTCTGCAAGCTGAGATAGAAATCCACAGCCTAAAACAGAGGGGATGACCCACTAAAGAGTATGTCTGGGAATTCCGAAAAATTACTGGGACGATCAGACAGTGGCCAGAACGATTGCTGATTCATTATTTCAAGGAGGGGCCAGATCGTGATTTATTCCAGGCGTGCACCTACCGGGGAATTCCTGATCAGCTCCGTGAATGGTATTGCATAGCTGTGACCCTGGACATCGAGTTGGCCTGCTGCAGGAAGCCCAGCACCACCAAATCGAAACCACAACGAAGCCAGGAAAAGCGTCTATTTAGGTGACAACCACCAACCACTCCTGCAACCAGTACTGCCCAAATGCCTGCTGGAGCTCCCATTCAGGTGTGGACAGCAGGGTCACTGGGCAGCTGATAGCCTGGCTCCTGCTCCTCAGGGCAGAAGCATGCCTGCCTATGTGGAAAAGGCTTCCACAGAGAGGATGAGAGAGATCGAATTGGGTATGCCAAGGCCAAGGCATCGAGCTTCCCCCTCCTACCCAGGGGGGAGAGGGAGCTCTGGCTGAGTGCCTACAACTGCCAGCACCCTATGACAGCAACGATGATGTGAGGACAACCTAATGGTAGATCAGCCCATCCCACCTTTTGCCATTGCTGCCAAACTTATAGTGCCAAAGACTGGGGCACAGATGGACGTAAACGTCCTAATAGACTCAGGTTGCCTAAGGTGCCTGATTAGTCTCCTGACTGTACTTAAATTAGGAATCCATGCCAAGCTGTTACCCATAGCCATGAAATTTGAGCAGGCAGGTGATCTTTGATGGGGGGGGGGGTTTCCCCTGCAACACATTTAACTGAACTGATCTGGTTGGAGCTGGGACAACATTGGGAGATCATCTGCTTTGTGGTTACCCCCAAAATGACTGAGACAGTGATTCTGGAATTAGTATGGCTTGACAAATGGCGCCCTACTATTTGGTGGGAGAACAGGGTGAGAACCTTGAGACTAGCGAAAGGACCCCTCCAACCTTCTGAATCAGCCAGATCAAGAGAATAACAGACACTGAGGGAAGGGGGGGAATGATTGAGCTGCTAAGAGCCACCACAGATTGAACGCCAGGGGTCCAACTCATTCCAATGGAATACCGGGACCTAACGAGGGCTTTCAGCAAAGAGGACTGTGACATACTTTCCCCTCACTGAACTACCAATTGTGCGATTGAAATACTGACAGGGGCTAAACTTCCAAAGCCTAAGATGTACTCCATGACCCCCAGAGAGATGAATGCGTTAAGGGAATAGATAGACAAGAAAGTAGCTAGGAGTTTCATCGAACCAGCCAAATCACGAGTAGCCGCCCCAGTGCTATTTAAGGAGAAGAAAGATGGGTCTTTGAGGTTGTGCATGGATTTTAAAGGATTGAGCGTGGAAAATATGTATCCTTTCCCCCTGATGAAGGACATGTTAGCCCACCTTGCAAGATGGAAAGGCTTTACTAAGCTGGATTTAAGGGAGGTTTATTATCAAGTAAGAATCAGGAAGTGAGATGAATGGAAGTCAGTTTTCAATTGCCCCCTAGGAAGTTTCCAATTTAAAGTGATGCCTTTTGGCCTTCAAGGGGCTCCTGTTGTATTTATGCAGCTGATCAATCAGGTGCTGCATGATTATCTCTACTAGGGAGTGACAACATCCTCATTTACACAGAAACCAGGGAGGAGCATGTAAAGTTGGTCCGGGAGGTGCTTAAGAGATTCTTAAAGACAAACTTCTACGCTAAGCTGTCTAAGTGTGAATTCTACCAGTCCCACCCTGACTATTTGCACCAGATTTCCCATGAGAGGGTGAAAATGGACTCCGTCAAAGTTAAGGCTGTATTGGAATGGCAGCCTCGGAGAACTGATAAACAGCTGTAGCTCTTCCTTTGTCACAATAGCTTTGCCAATCACTGAACTATTGAAAAATAAGGGAGGAGGGAGATCTCATCCCGGTCAACCTTTAAATGCACCATAGAATACCAAGAAGCGTTTGAACAGCTAAAAAGACTATTTGTGGAGGAACCAATCCTAAAACACCCCGACCCTGAAAAGCAGTTCATCATCCAGGTTGATGCTAATGATGTTGCTGTAAGTGCTCCTATAGAGGATTGACAAACAGGACCTACAACCAGGTGCCTACACCTCAAAGAAACCTAAAAGGAGTTTCACTTCCCTCTAAAAAGTGCCAGCATGGGAGTAATGTTCATCTTACTACAAAAGCTTCCTTCTCCCACACCGCCCTTCGCCTTTTTGTGTCTGTAAGAAACTACAGACACAGAAAGGCGAAGGGCAGTGTGGGAGAAGGAAGCTTTTGTAGTAAGATGAACATTACTCCCATGCTGGCACTTTTTAGAGGGAAGTGAAACTCCTTTTCAGATATGGACTGGTCATAAAAACCTAGAGGCACTGAAGATCCCATGGAGATTATCTCCTAAACAGGTCTGATGAGCATAATACTTCAACCATTTTAACTTTGCCCTAAAGTACATTCCAGGGGAAAGAATTTCCTGGCCGCCACACTATCCAGAATGCCTCAATACAAAAGCCACCATGTAGAAGTAATTAACACAATTATTCACCCACCCCAAAAAGCCTCTCAAGTAACCACTAGGTGTCAAACCCAGAGATGATCCATAGAGTCTGACAGCCACTTGACTGAGAAACTCAAAGACAAACTAAAAGCAGACCCCTGGTTCAGTGACAACAGGCAGCTGTTAACCTATCAAGATGGACTAGCCTGGAAAGGGTCTAAGTTGTATTTTCCCAGCCCTCTAAGAATCCAAGCCCTCCAGTGGAGTCATGATGCTAAACAAGCTGGCCACTTTGGGTTCCTGAAAACTCTACATTTAGTGAACTGGCAGTTCTGGAGGCCAGGAATGAAGAAGGACATTGAAAGTTATGTGAAAAGTTGTGTGACTTGTGCTGCCATAAAAAAACAGTCTGGAAAACCACCTGAACTATTGCAGTAAGTGGTAGACCCTTCCCAACCCTGAGAAGAAATAGCAATAGATTTTATTGTGGAACTGCCCGAAAACAACTGAAATACTATATTTTGGACTGTCACTAACCTTTTTTCGAAGCAGGCTCACTTCATTGGTTGTTCGGGATTCCCCTCTGCCCAGAAACTCACCAAGCTATTTTTGAGGCATATTTACCAACTCCATGGAATGCAAAAAGGGTTATATCAGATAGGGGAGTTCAATTCATCACCAAGTTCTGGAGGGAGTTTGTGAAACTGATTGTGTTGACCCAGGGGCTCGCCTCCACTTTTCATCCGAGCACGAATGGATCAGCTGTATGAACGCAATGGTGGAACAGTACCTTAGATGCTATGTCAACTGTAAACAGACTAATTGGGCAGACCTCCTGCCTTTTGCTGAAGTAGCCTACAATAATACCGTTCATAGTAGCACTGGACTTACCCATTTAAAATAGCAACCAGCAGGGAATTTGTTCCTATGCCTCTCTTCTCACAAACTTTAAATCAGTGGGTGACATTCCTACAGAGTGCTTGGGTAAACTTTAAGCGAGCCCTAATCCAAGCTGCTAAAGTATACAAGGAGCAAGCCGGCAAGCGGCAATCTCCCTAGAGACCATTTTATGTAGGAGAGAAAGTCTATCCATCTAGTAAGTATATGACATTGAAGTTCCCCAATAAGAAATTGGGACCTAAGTTCCTCAGTCCTTTCCCCATAGTCAAAATAATTAATCCTGTCATGATTGAATTAAAGCTCTCACAACTGTTAGGAAAAGTTCACCCCATCTTCCATTGCAGTTTGTTAAAGCCAGTCTCAGAGTCCACACTGAGACCGATTCTGAAAAAAGCACCGGGCCCCATTACGGTGGAGGGCGAGACTTCTTATGAAATAAAACACATTCTTGGTTCTAGATTATATAAAGGGAAATTGCAATATTTGGTGCAGTGGAAAGGGTATCCCTTATCAGAAGCTACTTGGGTGAAGAGTGGGGATGTAAAGACAGAGAGGTTAATACAGAAATTCTATGATAAGCATCCTCAAAAGCCTAGGGGGAATTCCTAACTTGTGTTTCTGCTTCTTTCACAGAACTTGCTTTCTCCTTAGAGGGGTGTGACTGTCAACTCTACAATGTACCTGGCTGCAGCCATTTTTGTTCTAGGTTGCCACAAGAAAGGGAGGGGGGAATCTGGTAGTCTAAACATTAGCAAATCTTGTGGGAACCAAGGTCATTCCCATACCGAAGGGGAGAAGGAGGATCGTTTAGTCAGAAAACCCACCAAGTTGTTCTATTGGATAGCATGAGTAGAGGGTTGGGAATTGTTACATTGTATTACTTTGATTCTTGGGGGGAAAGTTTAGATCTGATTTCACTTTTGTTCATGCCGATATTATATAGCCAATAAACATGTTCTTTGAGGAACTTTCCTGCCTCGGAGTTCTGATTTATTTGGTCAAAGACACCAACCAAAGAATCCCTAAGACCGCCCCCAACCAGCCAGACAAGCAAGACACCAGAATATAAACTGATAGCAAACAGCACTCCTTACTAGCACTGATGATGTTACCTAGTTAGGGTAATGAAACATTTGCAAGAAAACAAGCAAGCTCGGAGAGCACCAAGGACCCCTCATTTAGGCTATAGCTAGAACTGAACACACACCTAAACTAAGCCTTTATGGAGTTCTATGATTTTATATATCTCCCCATGATGTTTTTTTTTTTCTGGCTTTATATTGGTTAATTGGAAAATAGAAGAAAATTGGGTTTTTTATTGTGACATTGAAACAAATATGAGTATGAATGCATGTTTTGTTCAAAAGTTAAAATTATGCTGATTGATCTTAAAAAGATTATATGTCTGCAGAAGGAGAAAATATTACATAATAGTAATCAGCTAGTCCATTATGAGAATTCATATATCAACATATTTTCAAACACTAGTACATGGAAACAATATACTTGTTAACATAATGTTCTGCATGGTTTTCTCAGTACCTCTATTCCTTCCTTATTTAAGGCATATTCATCAAAGTTCAAAATGGCAACCTTGATTGTCCTTGGATGTGGTAATACAGTCAGTCCTATATTAATAGCATTGCTCCGCTTGGAATCCAGGACAATGATTTCTTGCCTCTTGCCATCAGCAGCAGTTTTCTGAGAAAAAGAAGCAGAGATTGTAAACTATTATGTTTCTTCAGTCATATAAATATTCTTTAAGTAATTAAATCTATCTATTAATTAAGCTAGAATAGCATATGGATAACATGATAATTCTACAGTAAAAGCAGAACTTGTGATAGATTCTTTAGACTTTTCTTAAAAGATTCATGAGACTTATGAACTTTGGAAATGAGATGGAATTGTTGGGAAAGTTCCCAATTAAAAATCTAAGGAAAGATTTAACTATTAAGAATCAAACAAGGGTATTTGACCCTAGACTTAGAGATAATGATTTGGGCGATTTGTGGTAAATAGCTAACTGTATAGACCAAGGGTGTCAAACTCTGGCCCGTGGGCCGGATCTGTCACCAGGAAACCGCGCCCACCCCATTGCCGGCAATGGGAAAAAAGCTCCGATACATTGTGCGACGTCACATGACGTCGCGAGTTTGACATGTCTGGTGTAGACTTTCTAAGAGTGAATTACAATAACAGGCTGTTAACAGAGTGCTTTGAACTTTAACTTCATTGTTCTTTAACTAGTTATTTTTTTTCTTTCATGTATGTAATGTATGATATGTCAATTGGGTTGTAAATAGATGTACAAACATACATTTTGGACCTGTTTTGCAAGGGAGAAGCTATTATTGTTGCAATATATTTATCAGTATTTAACTTGGTGGAGATTATATATTTTTTGTCCTTTTTTATTCACATGTTTTCAGTGTTTTTGTTTAGTTTTGTTTTGTCTCTTTTGGATAAAATAGATAAAAGCAGTAAAAATCCTCAAAAACTAAAATGCCAGATAATTGTTGGATAAAACAAAACAAACCCTCCCCCAGTCTGACTTCAATATTTAGATATTTACTCACCTAGTTGTAATTCTACTGTAAATGCTACAATAATTCTACAGTAAAAGTAGAACTTGTGATAGATTCTTTAGACTTTTCTTAGAAGATTCATATGAGATTTACTTGTCTGTTAAATTGTATCCCACCTTTTCTTCAGGAACTCAAGACAGTTTAGAGGAGCTCTTTCTCCTCTAACTCCCTGCTCCACAACAACAATTCTCCGATTCTCTCCTCCACAACAATAATTGCTATTAAGTAGACTGGACTGAGAGAGATAAAGTAGCTCAAAGTAGTTCAGTAACCAGCTATAGCTTTGGGTGGATTTAAACTTGATCTCCCTGGGTCTCATCCAATATCTTAACTGCTATTTTATATTATATTTATGTTGATAAAAGTGGCAGAAGCACCTATTTTGAAAATAAAGAAATAGCTTGAGTTAGGAACATTTAAAGTTGGATCTTATTGTTAATTTTAATTCCCTTCTAGAAAGGAATTGTGGTGCAGCAATGCCATGGCTGCTCAAACATGTAATTCTTGTTTAGACTCTGGTTGCTCAAAACGTATTCTGCAGAGGAAAAAAAACTTGTTGCTATTCATTGTCACATCTTTCTGATTTTTCTTTTTCAGATCAACATTAGTGAAATGTGTATTATTTTTTAGGCTGCAGTAACAGGCTAACATGAATATATATTCATTTGTAGCTTTTAAATTTTGAGCAAGGCGTCTTTTTCTTTACTGTACTATATTGAATGTGTATTTATTTAAAACACTTATATAGCTGCCTACACTTATATAGTGTATACACTTATATAGTGTATTTATTTAAAACACTTATATAGCTGCCTAAAAGCAGTACATATTTTAACATTATTTAAATAATTAACGTCAGGCCCAAAGTAAAGCAATAACTTTCTAATCTACTAAATATATCTTGGGAGAGTCTATCGTATGGCTACCCTCCCCCCTCCCACTCAGGACAGCAGTCTCTTAATCAGGCCTCTTTCTGGGAAAGCTCTGAATGGCCAAGTACTTTCCCTCTGCTGCTGCAGATGCACATTCCATCACAGTTAGCAGTACATGATTCTTGATGCTATTTTGGATCAGGTGATGTAAACAAGAAACTCCTCATTTTATTACTCTGTTATTGAGATTTTTAAATTAATATGGTTATGTTTGAATTATTGCTTCTTATTATGCATATCCACCAATTAAATAATTATTTATTCTATAATAGGAAAAAGGTAAGAAGATAATAGAATAAAAGATTCAGGATGGACTATTACGCCACTGAATTCAAGCAGGAATCCAGATTAAAGCATGCCTAGCAGATAAGTCTACAATTACTTCCAATGAATCAAATCTACTTCTCTAGATAATTGTACACTCAAATTGCCCTTATTTTAGGAAAGATTTTTCTAATATTTAATTGAAATCAGGTTTTCCTTTAACTTAGAACCATTATTTCGTGTTCCCTATCACAAAGACTGGCAGCATAATACAACAAGATGAATGGCTGGCTGAGTGGATTTAGAAGAAATTTAATCAGTAATTAGCAATTACTGTTGTTGTTATTACTGTGGATAGGGAGTACTTCTGAAGACTGTCAGCACTACTGCTGTCAATTTGAGCCCCAGAAAGAACCATCTCTTTTGGTCAGAATCAATCCTTGGCCTGGGTACCTGGATTAGCCAATAGCAGATGTGAGTAGAGGTGGAATCTGTACAGAGTAGGAAAGGAAGGAACCTCTGCCTTTCTCCTGTTTCAGGTTGCATCACCTCACGATGCTGCATCTGAGCTGCTTTTAAACCTGAGTTTATAAGTTTAGCAGGGTATTAAATTTATGTTTAAAAATTCCTGCCTCCCCTACCCCGGGATAGGGGAAGTGATTTTGAGATAAAGTGAGAGGGAGTTCTCTTCAATACACCTAGCAACTGCCTCCTCCATTATCAGATGTTAATTGGGCTACTTTTTAATATCAAACCTGTTTTAAGTAATGCGATTGGTGAATATCTTCTCAAAGCCACCAATACCTTTTCTTAGCTTGCTTTGCATACAACTACCATTTGGCAGGATAGGGACTGGCAATGGGATTAACAAATGTTATATAACTAATAGTTTTTGGATCCATCAGTATAAATGAATAGCACTGAAGTATCCTTTGAAGAAGATCTGTCACCATGTAGAGCAGGGATGTCAAACTGCCGGCCCGTGGGCCGATGCGTCACAATGAAACCACGCCTACCCCATTGCTGGCAATGGGGAAAAAGTTCCAATACATCGCGCGACGTCACATGACATTGCGAGTTTAACATGTCTGATGTAGAGAAATGTAGGGAAAAAATTGCCAAGATTACTTTCACTTAGTAATTCCTCCCAAGGTACACTTTTTTAGAATAAGACAGGAAATCTGTGTCTTTTCTTCTATAATAAATACTGTAGCAAACAAATACCAATTTGATGGTAGCATATGATCACAACTCAAGTAGATTGGAACTATATTCCTTCAAAGGATCCTATATTTTATTAGTTTGGGACAATAGATACTTGGGAGAAATATAGATATTAAATAAATAAATAAAAACAGCTTGAGGAATCAAATCATTAATAGGTATGATATAATGGATGCATGGATGTAATACAGATAGCCTTGACTTATAACTGCTTGCTTAGCAGCCATTTAAATTCTGACAGGGGTATTTGTGAACTAGATTCAAATTCTGATCATTGCCCCTTCCTGTGGTTACATGGGTGCACCTTAGTACTTGACAACCAGATTGCATTAGCAGACTTTTAGGGTGTCCCAGTCACATGACTGTTTTATGACAGTTTTGCTGAAAACCTACATTTACTTGTTTTTTAGGAAAATCACATTCTCAGTAAACCCTTGCATTGCTTAATGACCATGCCATTTGCTTAATGACCATGGATTCGCTTAGCGACTACAGTAATTCACTTAATGATCACTGCAAAAAAGGTCTTAAAATCAGGTCAGTCACATGTCCAACCTGCTTTATGATCATGAGTTATAATCATGATAAGCAGGCTGCATAATTTATTTATTTAATTTCTAGGGCTACTATAATGAGTCATAATTCAAGGACTGTCTGCCCAAGATTGTTTAGAGATAATTTCTGTGAAATAAATATGCTAAGGCTGCCTGAGGATGTCCCATCTTTAGTATTTGAATTGTCCCCAATATAAAGGTCATATAAATATTATGCTCCAACATGCCCAGGCCTCTTGAAGAATAATAATATTAAATATATTTAGTTTCTTGTGGGTTAGGGGAAAAAGTCATTTCTTTTTCAGTATCAGAAGTGTTGCAAGATTTGAGTCAGATGTTTATGGACCCAATAAGGTATTCAGGAGGAGCTGGAGGATTATTGAAGGAATCTTCCTCACTTTGTGCTCTTAGGGCCCACATTCAGTAAGAATAATGCTGCAATTGCTGAAGAGATCTGTATCCAACGGGGCTTCTGAGAGTTTGGTGAGAGGGAAATTGAAGGAAGCTTCCAATGTCTCACTCTCTTTGCATGTTGATAAAGTTTTAAGACAGGAATTTTAGTCTTCATTATTAGTTTTAAAATGACTCATTAGGAGATTGGATTTTTTTTTCATATTATTCAGAGAGGTTTTGTTGTGGACTGTTAAGACTTTTATGGCAGACACATTCAGGAAATAACCAATTGGTTTTTGGAAAAGATTTTTATTGCTAATAGATAATGTAACAGAATTTTGAAATACTATCAAAATAATTATTCCACATATACTTAGTACAGTTGAGGGGAATTTCTTTCTCACAGTTCATTCCCCACAACCCGAACTCAAGAATATGTAATATACAGGTAGTCCTTAAGCTAAGATCACAATTGAGCCCAAAATTACCTTTGCTAAGCAAGACAGTTGTTAAGTCAGGTTTGCCCTGTTTTATGTCATTTGTGCCACAGTTGTTAATCAAATCACTGCAGTTGTAAAGTGAATCATGTGGTTGTTAAGAGAATATGGCTTCTCCCTTTGACTTTGCTTGTCAGAAGCCAGCTGGGAAGGTTACAAAGGGTATCAGTGCAACTCTCATTTAGGCCAAATGCCCTTAATTTGATAACATGACCATGGGGATGCTGCAATGGTTGTATGAAAACCAGTCATAGGTCACTTTTTTCAGCTGTTGTAACTAGGAATGGTTACTAAACAAATGGTTGTAAGTCAAGGGCTACCTGTAATGGCCTTGTTCCGCTCTAAATTGTCTTGGTGTCCCCTCTGTGTTCCCATGATTTGTTAGGAATTATCTAACACAGAGACTGCTAGAGAGCTGGTTGACAGGCAATGAACAGAAGCTCATTGGAAATGGGGTGTGCAGATGGCAGAACCCGGCACTAAAAAGCCAAGGAAAGACTGATCAAATGAAATTTAGCTCTTTTATTTCAATACCTAATTTGGGGGATTAGATTTTGGATTTAACTATTTTAATTAATTATTTGATTTTTGCTGACTACTGTAAGCAGCCTAGATTTGAGGCAATGAACAAATCTCATTAATAAATAGTAGCAAATAATCAATGGCAAGCAGTGCAAAGACTTTACAAATAGTTTTCAACATTTCAAATTTTAAAGGAAACTTGGTCTTTATAAAAAAAAGTGGTGGGGGAAATGGCTTCATGGGGATTACTTTTATCATCAAAAATAAAAACAAAGTCAGACTGAAATTTTGTTGAATTACAGTAATTCACTATTTTATAATTAAAGAATACCTCATAATTCCTTTTCACAGCTTAATATGCACTGTCAAATGTTTCTATGATTTTTCATTCTGTCACATGTTTAATATATTCATTGGAACTGTTTTTTTTTCAGAATGCACATTCTGAGATCTTTTATGTGCAAAATGGCTGAAATATAGATCTGATATTCATGACAGAGTTCTATGTATTAAGATCTTTCTATAAAGAAAAAAAAAACACCCTATATTTCCAATACAGATATCAGATTAGTATTTTAAAAGAATATGTAAGAACTGTGTGAACACTGAGCTGTGAATTGGATGTATAAATGGCAAAGAGACAAGAGAAAGTTATATAAATAAAAATATATATCTGGGAATTCTTTTTGTGAAACAATGTCAAATGTAAGGACTACTACATACACTATAATTCAGTTAATATGAAGTTCTTAGAAGAATATACATATAAGGAAAATATATGGAGACAACTTTGCCTTGTTCTGTTATTTTTTTCTTCAATTCATGTATAAAGCATGTATAATTCATACATAAAATATAGTTCATACATAATGCAGGCACAAATAATTGAACCAAGTCAAATTGGTCTCTTAGACTTTAAGAGAGCTGACATTAACAAACTAAGAGATAGTTTAGGAAGAATTCCATGGATGAAAATCCTAAAGGAGTAAAATCTCAAGATGCTTGGAAAACTCTGAAAAAAGAAGATATAAACCCTAATCTATGATAATACCACAGAGAAAGAAAAATAAGAAACACCAAATGAAGCCAGCATGGTTGCATAAAAAAACTTTCTGACAAACTAAGAGAAAAAAAAGAACAAGTATAAAAATGGAAAGAGAGACATATACCTAAAACAGGCTACCAGCAAATAGCATGAATCTGCAAGGATGAAGTCAGGAAAGCTAAGGCTCAGAATGAACTAAGCAACAAATGCCAAAAATAATTAAAACGTTTTTTTTCAACATGTAAGAAACAAAAAAAAAAACAGTCAAGGAAATGATTGGTTCACTAATGAGAGAAGATGGCAAGGATGTGAATGGCAGCAGGGAGAAAGTGGGATGTTTAATTAATTATTTGCATCTGCCTTCACGCAAAAGGAAAAAAATAGTCCTATCTATCAAAAGCAGCACCTTAGGAGACAGACTAGAAGTGGAAGTCAAAATAGGCAAGAAAATATTAAGAGAATATCCACCCAATGGATTATATTGCAGAGTTCTGAAGGAGCTGTCAGACATGATCTTTGAACCACTGAACAGAATCTTTCAAAGCTCCTGGACTGCCAGAGAAATACCAAAGGACTGGAAAAGAGCTGATATGGTTCCAATCTACAAGAAGAGAAAAAAAATTGGATCTAGAAAACTACAGCCTGGCATCAATACATAGGAAAATCCTGGAAAAAATAAGCAGCGCATTTGTGAACACCTAGAAATGAACAAAATAATTACTAGAAACCAGCATGGATGTGTCAAAAACAGATTATACCAGAAACACTTATTGCCTTCTTTGATCAAGTAACTTAAATTAGTGGATAAGGGAAATGCTATGGACACAGTATACTTGGTCTTGAGTAAGGCAGTTGACAAAGTAGACCATAGCCTATTTGTTGGTAGAACAACGTGGGTTAGATTGGGGTAGTGGGGTAGTACCACTACCAGATGGATTGGCCAATGACCCATCCTCAGCATATAGCCCCCAATGGAACTACATCTATATAGAGGGAAGCATGCAGTGGGGTACCTCAAGGTTCTTAGGCCTAATACTCTTCCACATCTTCATATACAATTTAGATAAGAAAATAGGAGGGGAACTCATCATATTTGCAGACAATATCAACCTTTGAGGAACAGCTAATGGTTTAGAATATAACTCAATTCAGAAGGATTGTGACAGACTTGAACACTTGGCCTCATCCTACAAAATGTAATTAAGTAGTGAGAAAAGTAAGATCCTACATACAGACAAGAAAAATGTACAAGTATAGAATAGGTGGTACCTCGCTCAACAGTTGCAATTGTGAGAGGGATCTAGATGTGCTAGTCAACCACTATTATTTTGAGCCAGCAGCATGCTGAAACTGCCAAAAAAGCCAATGCATAGGCTGCATCAATAAACAGTTTCAAGATCATGTGCCCTGGTCACCATGATACAAAAAAGATCACGAGACCCTAGAAAGACTCGAAAGAAGAGCAACATTGTACAAGCTAAACTGTACAATGAATGATTGAGGGAATTAGGTTTGTTTAGTCTAACAAAGAGAGGGATTGGGGTGATATAATAGCAGTCTTCTAATATTGAATAGGCTATCATCTTATTCTCCAAAACATCAGAAGGCAGGACAAGTAATGGATGGAAGATTATTAAAGAGAGCTCCAACCTAGAATTAAGGAGAAATTTCCTGACAGTGAGAACAATTAATCAGTGGAACAGCTCACCTCCGGAAATTATAGGAGCTCTATCTCTCTATCACTTCAAGAACATATTGGACAGCCATTTGTGCAGAATGGTATAGCGTCTCCTGTTTGAGCAGGAAGTTGGACTAGAAGACCTCCAAGGTTCATTCCAACCCTATTATTCTATGTTATAGGGGGGGGAGTGACTGACAAGAATAAGAGAACCACTATTGCCTATTGCACGTCCTAACTGTACAGAATTTCTAGAAATAAAATTTACAAGTAAAAAGAATGTCAGAAGGAGGTGAAGAGCTACTGCTCTCTTTGTATGCCCAACTGGATTGGAATTTCCCCAAAGGACTATAATTCCACTTAGCACTTACAGTATCTTTCAGACAAGACCAAAAATATGGTAGTTAAACAGCAAAGTTTATTTATTTATTATTGTGGTTTTTAGTATTGCCTGTTCACTGCCCTGAGTCCCGTAAGGGAGATAGGGGGGTATATAAATTTAATAAATAAATAAATAAATAAATAAGTATGTATACTGAGTAATTCCCACAATAGGACGAAAATCTATTTACTATCTGACATTTCCCAACAATATGAGAGATTTCTTCCTGTTAGCAATCTGAAAAGAAACAAAAAATGATATTTGTCTAATTTTTTAAGTCATAGAGATTTTTAGTAATAAAAAGAAAATGAGGAAGAAATTAACTCTTTGTCCCAATTTAGATTTTTTTAATCTGGTTTTTACACATGGTATTGAACTTCATTTAAGGTTTTAAACTTATTAGGCAATTTTCTTGATTCTCAGTACAGGTAGTCCTCAACTTAAAACAGTTTGTTTAGTGACCGTTCAAAGTTACAATAGCACCCAAAAAAGTCAATGATGAGCGTTTTTCACAGTTATGACTATTGCAACATCTTCATGGTCACATGTTCAAAATTCAGATGCTTGGCAACTTATTCATATTTATGATAATTGCAGTGTCCTGGGGTCATGTGATCAGTTTTTGCTAGCTTCTGACAAGTAAGGCAATGGGGAAATTGTTAAGATTAACATAACTGTGGCTTTGGAAGGTCATAAAATGGGGTATAACTCTCTTAACAAATGTCTTACTTGGCAACAGAAATTTTGGGCTCAATTGTAAACATAAGTCAAAGACTACCTGTACCTTATAAAATATTATTTATTATATATGGAAACCTGACTCCAGTAATTATTGAATTATTTATAAATTTTGCTATGATACAAACAAAATATATAAAGATTTATATATATATATAAATATATATAAAAATATAAAGATATATAAAGAAGAGTACCTTTGTGATAGGAAGATCCTTGGATTTAGTCTCAAAGAGGTATTCTAATTTGGCAGTGTCTACTCTAATAGGCTCTAGTTTTGACCACAGGAATCCTTTGCAGTGTCTGTTTTCCTTGCCCTGCCATTCAAATGGCCTCACCTCATTCCAAAAGAGACGAATGGTTTTCTTCTTTTTTATAAAGTTTGCTTCATCTCTAGGAAGTGGGGATGACCCTAAACCTTGAGGGGTGCTTGATAGACATGGAGCCATTAAATTACCAGAAGGTGGGGGTGGAAGAGGACACCTATAAAGCAATGGAGGGGGTGGAGGAGGAAAACCTAAAACAGAAGGTATGGGTGGGGGAGGAGGAACTAGGGCATCACTAGAACTGATCTGTATGTCCAATATGTCAATATCATCTTCATCTCCTAAATCTGTGAAATCCATATCTTTGATTTTCAGTTTTCTTGGACTAGCCAAGAGTTGATCCCAAATAAAGTCAGATTCTGTTTTAATTTGCAGGGGTGTTTTTTCAGAAATCTTTTCATTAAAATCATTTTCAGGTAAATTGGAAATTTTGGCCACATCACCACTGTTGAATCTTTCTGCAAAGATCTTCACATTGCCTTGATTTTCCAAACTTCCAATCTCCATTTTTTTTATACATTCATCTTTGGCCTGCTTAGTAGTTTGTAGGACTGAAATCCTGCTGGCTAGGCTGATAACAGTATCTTCACTTGCATTCAACACCTTCTTTAAATCTATCTTTGCCTCCAATTCTTTAACTCTTTCATCCTTGGCAAAAGGCAAGTTATTATGGGCATACAGCATATCCAACATGAACCATTTATTGTTGAGGATGTTGTTGTATTGGTCGTTCACATCATCATCTTGTATGGGTTGCAAACACGGACCTGAAACATTGAATAGTAATGAGACACATTTGCTGAGAATCTATAACAAACAATATTGTTTTCAACCTGGAATAAACATGGTAGTCAGAAATGACATAACAGAATTGTAACCCTACTTACTAAAAGGGGAAGGGGATATGTGAGGGGGCTTTCTTCCTGTTTCAAAAGAAAGTTGCTTAAAATAAAGAACAGCATATTAAAAGGAATGAACACTTTTCATGCTTTACTTTAAAAAATAAATGAGATTCATAGAAAAACAAGATAGATTTATTTTAAAATGTATTTTATAAGATAGAGACATTTGTATCTGAGATTAGAATTCCATCTGCACTGATGAATTTGGAATGTAATATCTATTATATGAGAAGATAAAACATAGATGGAGTCAGATAACATTATCACCTTTATTATTTTTACTGGATGCTTTAATTAGTACAATTTTCTCATATTAGTTATCCTAACCTTCCATATGATCAATAATTCTTCTTAACAAAGCATTCATTAAATAGGATTCTGTTTATAAACAAAGTATGCACTGATTTGGAATGACTTTTCGGAATTTTAGTTAAGGATCTTTTCCAGTTCCACCTAAAGAAACAGAATACACGCAGAAAATATGGATTCTACTTCTGAGCTAGTGTGCTTTCACATTAAGTAGAATTCCCTTTCCTCCCACAGAATATTTTATATGTTTTGTTGTATATGATAGAAAGAATGACTACTCTAGTGTATATTTTTCCTAGCTATCAAGTATTAATAACCTATCATCAGAACATAAAACAGTATTGACCTCAAATAGTTTCTCACATTAAAAAAACTTTGAAGAAGTTTTTATTATACAAGGATGCCTCGTTAACTTACATTTAGGTTTGTGTTAGAAATTTATTATAAGTCTAAGACTAGTAAGACATAAAATAAAAACAAAAATTAGAAATTCTAGTGATAATACTAGCACTTTTATATCACATTTAACAAATTGCATGGAAACATTCACTAAAGATGATGAAAACAATTATGCTTAGGGCAATAATAAATAATGTATACATAATAAAGACAATTATTTTATCTTCTCATATAATACGTATTTCAAATTCATCAGTGCATATGGAATTCTAATTTCAAATACATTCAAATGTTTCTATCTTATAAAATACATTTAAAAATAACTGAATCTTATTTTTCTATGAATCTCATCCATTTTTTAAATTAAAGTATGAAAAGTTCTCATTTTTTTAAATAAACTGCTCTCCTTTATTTTAAGCAACTGTCTTTTGGAACAAGAAGATTGTATCATTAATTTTCTTATTTAATTACCAAATTAATTGATAATTTTTTAAAAAAAAATTAAGTGAAGAAAAGGAAAATAGTTTTGATCCTAAGGCAAATGAAGCCCTTGCTGTCATTGTTAGAAATTACATAGACCTTCCATTAATGAATAGCAAATTCTCTTTAACTTCAGTCAGAAGTTGGCAATTACTTATGAGAAGGTAGAAAAATCTAGCCAACTTAGAACAGAATAGAATATAATCAGCGAACACCTCGAGGCAAACAAAGTCAGAATTTAGTTTCACATTAATATACTTATTAAATAGCAATTGTGTGAAGGCCAGAAGTTTGTAAAGTAAAATATTAATAAAGTAAATTGATTCTGTCTTCTTGTAACTCACATGGATGCATTCATGCAGTAATGACATGATTTTATAGTAGCTTATCACTATGTTTTGTGAGAAAATGTTTTGACTTCCCTGTCTAGCTGACAGTGCTCGATTTTTAAAATAGTGTTCCAATTACAAATTAACTTCTAATTTTGGATGACAAAATTTAAAATGAATTCTGTTTTTGGTTCACATGCAATGTAAACATGGAAAACCAAAACGGAGGTAATTTTCCTTCCTTTTGATCATAAAAAAGAAGCTTGGTGCAGGTATGTATCCAGCTCTCCATGCAGTAATACAGGTAATCCTCAAGGTATGACCTAATGGAGCCTGCCCATTAGGCTCGTAACTCAAAAAATTCATCAAACGAAATCCGACTCAATTTTACAAATTTTTAAAATCAAATTCATTAATTAAATCAAATGGATCATTAAATGAACGAAGAACTGACTTACTATTTCCTCGGCTTTGTTAATTGATCTCTGCCTGAACTGAAAGGCCTTCCCACTGCTGCCAACCACCAATCAGCTGTTTCCTTCAGCTCAGGAACTAAATTGCCTGCAAGCAGGCTGCAGAACTCTCCTTTTGCAAAGATTTTTGCAGTTGCCACTAATTAGCTTAAGAGTCTCCAGTCACTCAGAGGGAGATGGGGGAAGGGTTTGCAACAGTAACAGATATGGAAAGGACCTTGAGATCATCTAGTCTAACCCACTGTTCTCACAAGAGAGTGATAAGATCAAATGAAAGGTCTTCAAAATTTAATACTGAAACAAAAATTTTAAATTGAATTTGCTGTGTAATGGAAACTTACTGCCTGGAGAACCAAACTGGCAAAGAAACCACAATGGGGAATCAGGAAAGGGTAGCATAAAGGAAGCATAAAAGATTAACACATAGGCAAATATTATCTGGGTCTCCAGAATTGGGAAAGGAAGAACACAAGCTGTAAAAACCGTTGCAAGAGGAAATGGCTAGCCAGGGAAGATTAAACTGAAAAACAGGAAAGAACCTATTTTTCTAAGAAGTCATAGGCGAAGGGGGCCCAGAACTTGAAACAGACAATGAGCATGTGTAATTAACTGGTATTATTTGACACACCTTGCATAAATTATCTCCTAATTTAAATGTACATGTGATGTATGATTTAGTATGTAGCAGGAAATATGTACAGTAGGAGGCAATCAGAAAGAGTGTAACCTCATAGTACCTCAGCCAATGGGGAAAGAGGAGGGATGTCGTGGCCGGGACAGGGCTGTATAAAGAAGAGAATATTTTGGGTTGAAACTTTGGAGAGAACCAAGCTTTGATAGCTTCTCTCCCTGCTTATTGCAATAAACGAAACAAAAGGCCTTCACTGTGTCTTGACTGGTTATTAGTCAGGCGAGTTTGTCTCTGGTCATAAAGGAAAGTAGCCAGGAGCACATAACAGACTTGGGAGCTCCTCCGGGATTTGCATCCGTTCCATCATTGGCAGCTGGGGATATTCGAAAAGGGCAGTGCACACCTGGGTAAGTTTTTCCCAGCCCTAAAGGTTGGATTGCCCCTGCTGAAACAAAGAGGAATCAGAAATCCTGAGACAAAAAGGCAGGACCCAGTAAAAACCTAAGGGAAAACCAGCTAACTCAGGGAAGGACTTTAACTCAGCCTGACAGGTAAGATACCAGAGCAGTAGCCATGGCAATAAGTTTGAAGAGAAGGGACACCTCCCCCGCCAGTGTGCCGGCCAGTAAGGAAAAAGAGGCAAGGTATTTACATTCTGGAATGAACTCCCTTAGGGAGATGGGAATCCCTTAGGGAGAATGTTAAGAGTATTGGAAGTCAATGACTTAAACCAGGGCTTTTCAACCTTTTCACCCATTGTACCACTTTTAGAATATGGCAACATCTGAGTACAACCAGTTGCCTAGCAAGGTGTCAAAAACTTGATAAAGTACAGGTAGTCCTCGACTTACAACAGTTCGCTTAGTGACTGTTTGAAGTTACAACGGCACTGAAAAAAGTGCCCCCCAAGCCACAGCTGAGCAAGACACCTGCCTGCCTACTTGGCGGTGCTCTTCCTCCTGTCCGAGGTTTTCATTGTTGTGAGCATTTCTGTTGAGGATTGGCAGCGGGGGTGGGGTGGGGGTGTTTGGTTTTTATTCCCCCCCCTCTGCTGGGTGGTTGCAGCAGGTTTTGGTCACTTGGCATGACCCTGGGACACTGTGACCATCATAAATATGGATCAGTTGCCAAGCATCTGAATGTAAATCACAAGACCCTGGAGATGCTGCAACATTCCAGCTGATCGGCGCTTCTTCTGGGCTCAGCAGAAGCGCCAGGATCAGTGCTGCTTTCCAGCTGATTGGTGCTTCTTCAGGGCTCAGCAGAAGCACCAGGATCAGCGCCGAGCTCCAGCTGGAGCCTGGGACTGATCCTGACGCTTCCGCTGAGCCCTGACAGCCCTGCAGCTCCAGCCATCTCTCACTCAGGCTTGTGTGGGGCTGCCACCGGTTCAGCTCATTCCCCTCCCCCACTACTTTTCTAGGATGGTCGCGTACCACTTGCCAGGTGCCAATGTACCATAGGTGGTACCCATACCACTGGTTGAAAAGCCCTGCCTTAAACAAGGCATTTGGACAGAGGAAGGATGATACATTACAGTATATATCTGGCCTAAGTACATGTTTGGCCAGCCAATAAATTAAATTGGCTGAAGAACAAGCTACAAGTTGCCCGAGGAAAGAAAACATGGAAGTTTAAAGGGATACAAACCTCCACAGATTTGGAAATGATGTTTAATGGTGTGTGTATATATGTGTTTGTGTTGAGCCATTTCTAAGACCTGGGGGAGGGGAGCAGACCCTCTAATAGTAACTAGTAACAAGGCCTTATTCCAAAAGGAAATTGGAGAAATGGAGTTCATTGGCTTGTGAAAATGCTCCCTGAAAATAATAATGATTGTTTTGCCTGGGGTGAAGTATTTGGAAATTGTTTGTGTCTGGTGTAAATTCAAGAAAGGGTGAAGAAGGCTAGCTTCTTAGTAATTAGAAGGACAATAGAAGGTGTTAAAAAGAATGTAACTTTCCAATTGACCATTTCCTTGCGGGTGATGGCTAGATGTCAGTCCCTGAGTGGTCCCTAAAAGGGATAAAAATTCCTTCCAAAATGCAGACGTAAATTGCACTCCCTTATCAGAGATGATGCGTTGGGGTGCCCCATGCAATCTGTAAATATGTTGCACGAAACGTTTCGCTAAGGCTTTTGCGGTGGGAATCTTTTGGCAAGGGATAGAGTGCACCTGTTTGGAAAACAAGTCCGTTACCATCCAGACGACAGTATTCCCATTGCTTTTGGGTAATTCCACTA